CAGGCTTTAGTGCAAGACAGACAGACCAACTGCATGAGCTCAGACCCCTGTTTCCCTGAGAAACCAGGCTACAGACTGGCTGTCAAACTTGACTTTTCATGCAGAAAGTAACTTTTAATAAAGTAATGAAAAATGAATTTGCCCATCATGAAAAAAATTGAGGGGGATTTCACAATATTGCAGAAAATTGTTGTGGATGGAGAAGGTGGGAATTATTTTTAAAGAGTTTTGGAGGTGTGATTTATCTCAGGTATAATTCCTCCTAGCTGAATGTCAGTAATAAATAGATCTCTGCGTTGGTCAAGTTACCTGCTGCCTGCTGAGAGAGACTGCTCAAACCATAGACAGATCATTTGGATGTAGTTGCAATAGGTGCAAAGGAAATTCCATCAGGAGCCTTAGGTGTCTCATTAGTTAGCTCGGTGCTTGCAAAGTTCCTATAAAAAGCTCATTCCGTGGGCTCATAAGGAACACTTCATACCATTTCATGAGATTTTGGAGGGGAGGGTGTCAGGAAAAAAAAAATCCTGAAGGAGAATACTGAGACTTCATTATGATGAAAGACAGAGGAACATTGAAATTCATTACAACAAGCAAGAAGAGGAGATACAAATAAGTTTATTAAGCTTTATCCCTCACAGGAATATCACATCAACTGTATTTCCTCCTTTTGTACACACGTGCATATTCATCTAATTCTAAGGGCAAGATTTGGCTCAGTATCTATGGCAACATTTTATTCCAATATGCAGCCAAAATATTGATTTAGAATTGCTAGTACCTTGAAGCAATCTGAATTGGAGTAAAAAAATGTAACATTTGAAGCCTGCCATGCTTGGGGCAGAAGCCTTGGTTTAAGCTTGACATACTTCACTACAAGAAGATCATCCCTTCCTTTCTATCACGGGAATTTTCTACTTTACAATGAACTCGTACAGTTCCCTGGCTGAGCCAGTGAATATCTTTGTTTCTGTTGGTCAGTTGTCATGATGCGATTCATTCCCCTTTCTCTGGGCTAATGCCACTCTGATTCCAAACCTGAAAACAAGAGGTCATCTTTAGAAACTGCAGTCTAATCTCCCTTGCAAAACCGTGACTGGAAACTCTATTGCAAGTGAGAAAAAGCAAGGAGCTCTTTTTTTTGTGGAAGCAAATATGTGGAAGGAAAGCTGAGCAATTTTCTTTTGCTAACTTACACGAGACAACCTCAAAACCTCCTAGGTCTCTGGTTCCTTGCCTCTATTTAGACAGCTTATGTAGACAGTTGCACCAAAATCCAGACTGAGCAATTAAGTAATTTATGACATGCATGGAAGTAGAGTCTTGAAGATGAGAGAAATTACAAGACCATTGATTTATAACACAAATTTATAAATATTTACCTTGTTCTTCTAAATTCTTTCCATCATTTATGTTACTGTTCAAAGGGTCACAAGAAATCGCTCAAGGGGTGTCTTGTCCACACCATACAAGAGGTATTATAGACTTGGGAATAGGTACATTTTGTAGTAAAGAAGGTTTGCAAGTAGTCCCTTGGGCAGAGTTGCCCCTCATGGCAGGGCTAAAGGAGTCCATCTGCATAGTAGTACTAAAGTCAAAGACATACTGTGGAAAGGTTGCAGTCCAGTGCTTCTGTAAGCTGTACTTGCCTTGGAGCTATATACATGGTGTTTTCCAGGGAATAATTGCAGCATGTGCAGTGTAGGTTTCCACAGCTGACTCCCACCACTGTGTTTCCATGCCATTACCTAAGGACACCATAATTTAGGATGTGGAAGAGCTTTGCTCTTATCTAGTCAGGTGTTCATGTCTCACCAGTAGGCATTGCATCTATTTGAGATATTGAAGACAAGAGTGCATTTCAACTAGGCTTCCAGATATAAATAACTTGAAGCCAGTCTCTAGCACTCTTACCCAAAATTTGAACTTACAACCTCAAGTTGAAAGATTTTACATCCTGTTGTTGCTGCCTCCCCTCTGCCTGCTTCTATTTCTCAGTGTTCCTGTCGTCATTCTTTCTAGTCTTTCTCATTCTTCCAGAGGTGTCCTATGCTACTTCTGAGTAAACATACCAGCAACAGCCAGACAGTAAAGAAAATAGCATCAGTTCAGGCACAGAGCCAGCAGCATAGGAGAGCTAACAGGCTGCATGAGGTCAGCACTGCTTCTTGACAGACCCTGATGTTTGCTAACCCATACATGTTTTTTGTCCGTGCATCCAGCTCCATGCCAGACTCTCTCTAAACATTTATCAACATTTATCTGTGTGGTGCTATTCTGCACTGTTTTGGAAAATGTGCTCTACCCAGTCACCAGTACTCTTACACTAATGACTATATTTTGTCAAAGCACAGTGAAAGATATTTAATTGAAGTCAAATATTTCTAGTTTGAGAGTTAAAGCACAAAAACCCCTTTATTGTGCACATAAGACTGTTTTAGTAGTTGGTTGGATTTGGTTTTTTTTAAAACTAGAACTGCTATATCATCTTAACATTTTCTGTATATATTTTCTATTTATTCTTTAGAAGTTGACTGCTTTGTTGTCACCTACCATAGGAGAGCCCTCATACATGTTTGAGTTCCTATGCACTTCTAGAAGTTTGTAGCAAGCACTTTTTTCCCCTCCTCTCATTGCAGGAGGGTTGGAACTAGATGATCTTTAAGGTCTCTTCCAACCCAAAGCATTCTATGATTCTATATGTTCAGCTAATTATGTACTCCTACCACTTTCATTATATGTGATCAGAGTATTTTTGCTCTCATCTGAATCTTCCATTAGAAGTTTTTTCCAACTTAAACACATCTACGAAAAGATGCTGCCTCTCCCTAGAAGCCATGTATCTCTTGTATTATTTTAACTCCATTCAAGAAAAATAAATCATTGTTGCTGTTTTGTAGTGCCTGTTCTCTCACTGCAAAGTCACCACGCTGTGATGGGATCATAGTACAAATAATCCATAAATGGAATTTTTCTTTTTTTCTTTTTTTTTTTTTTTTTCCTCACAAATTTAACAAAACCCAGATGAACTGGACAGATGGGGGAATTTTGACCTCCATTCAAGCTCAGACAGTATTTACTTCTAGTGAAATAAATTATTTATATTTCTGAACAATCTTGTCATTATTTCTTCTCTGTAATGTGTTGGAATTCATCATCTCCTTTTCTTACTCCTTGTCCTACCATTTGGTAAACATATCATTTTGGCCTAACAGATAAAAAGGTATCTTGATCATTAAAAAAATTAACGCTCATTATATCAGCAGTTGAAAATCACTATTGGCTCCTCAGCATTAACTATCTTTATGTCAAGTTAAAGTTTACAACTACAAAAATTACTTAACTGGTGACAACTCAGACCATGTCTAAACCAGTCAGATGCCACATTTCCATGATGAGGGCGTATTATAAAAAGTCTCCATTCACAACATTATATACAACATGAGACCTCATGCCAGGTCAGATCAACCTCCTCTGCCCCACATCTGATTCTGGGTAGTAGAGGACACTTACAGGAAGGTGTGGATATAGACAAGACACAGCAACCACCTCTGAGTATACTTTCCCATCCTCTACTATGTCCAAGTGAGTTATCTCTGCATTCCCCCAGTTTCTCACCAAATAGATCAACCTCTGTGGACTCTATTCAGCAGTTGAAATATAACCACATGAGCCACCAAGCCTTGGTACATCACCCTGAATAGTGGAGATTAGGATGCTTTTGTCCAATTTCGGAGAAAAAAATGGAAATCCTTATTTCAGGATTGCTTGATATTCAGTGCAGTGAATCAGGAGTTTATTCTCAATTGCCAGGCTTACCCTTTTCTCCAGTCCTCATCTCCATCTCTGTATTTCATTCTTCCCCAGTTGCTTTCCTCAATCTATGAGCTTTTCAGTCCTATAGTGCTTGTCCACATTGTCTCAAAAGGGTTAGTTTGTGCCTGAGTACTCCCGTGTAACTGGCTCAGGCAATAATATCAGAGTACCGAAGATCATAATCTCCACTCTGGATAGCTCTGGGGTAGCCATTCAAGCACATATGGTGGGTCTGTGAATGGCTTGTGCAGCTATGCTCAAATCTTGATTTCCTATGCATACCTTTCGTTAGTGGGTCCCTGGAGAGGAGAACAGCCACACTCCTCTGCCACCTGCTCTTTGTTC